TGTATATGTATATGTATGTAACACAGAAAGCAGAGACCCAAGGAAGGGTGAGTTTAGAAAAACATGTAAAAATAAACTCCAGTAAGCACATACTAACTATTAGCAGAGCAGCCCTTCCCCAGAACTTTCTCAGGATAGTCCAGTTTAAACACAGTTGCCTGGCATGTAGTATGGATCATATCTGGGAAATCATGGAAGCGAGACAGAAGGCCATGTCTAGATTCAGGGTATTCAAAAGACAGCACTCTGCAAATCCTTTCAACCACGCTGGGTTCTATAGCTGTGTTACGACATCCAACAAGAATAAACATGTCTTATAAATCGAATGTAAGCGTCTGTCACAGGAGGCACGAAGCCACATCTAAGAACGATCCAGGGAACAAAGTGCATGTGAGGTAAAAGGCCCTCTGCCTCTTCCTGGGGCCTCTCCCGCAGTTCCCCAAAGCATTGTTCACCGTGTTCACACTCGGGTCTTGAGGCTTTGACAACTTTACCCCTTTTCCATCTTTTTTTTTTTTTTAATTGGGAAGCTGCTGTCAGGTGGGCGAGTTCACTGGCCCCCAAGGACCAAGGCCAGAGAAGTCACCACGGGAAGGGAGGAATAGGGGAGGGAGAGGGAAAGAGAAAGAGGCACATGGAGAAAGAGGAGGAGGAGGAAGAAGAGGAAGAGGAGGAAGAAGAAGAGGAGGAGGAGAAGGAGGAAGAGGAGGAAAATAAGAAGAAAAAGAAGGAGAAGGAGAAGAGAAGGAAGAGGAGGAGGAGGAGGAAGAGGAGAAGGAGCCTCTTTCCATTTTTACTAGTTACTTTGCATAGCTGTGAGCAGAGGGGGTCCCTGAGTTTGTGGTAGAGGCCCCTCATCTCATGGCAGACAGGGAGAGAAACAAACACCCAGAGGACCAGATCTAATCTTCAGAATCATACCCGTAGGGACTCACTACTTCCAACCAACCCTACCCCTACCTCAGCCTCCAACCCCTGTTTCCAAAGTTCTGCCACCTTCTAAAGTACTACCACAGGCTGGGGACTAAATTTCCAATTTTTTTTTAAAGATTTATTTATTTTATATATGCGAATACACTGTAGCTGTCTTCAGACACACCAGAAGAGGGCATCAGATGCCATTACAGATGGTTGTGAGCCACCATGTGGTTGCTGGGAATTGAACTCAGGACCTCTGGAAGAGCAGTCAGTGCTCTTAACCACTGAGCCATCTCTCCAGCGCTTGCTTATTTGTTTGTTTGTTTATTTATTTATTTATTTAGACAGGTCTGCTTTGCCCTTCAGGCTGGACTAGAACCTATTATCCTCCTGCTTCTGCTTCTCAAAACGCTGGGATCACAGATATGAACTACTAAACCTAGTTGTGGGGGGCATTCTATGTTCAAGCCATGAAGCCAGAACCAAAGCATGCAAAACGAAAGCTCAGTTCAAGTGCATGGCTAGCCTCATTCATTGGCTCCTTTATTTATGGCTGCAGTGGACTCAGTGCTACAAGCATGAAGCCCTGAGTTCAGATCCCTAGAACCCATGGGTTTTTTTTTTTTTTTTTTGGTTCGTTTATGTTTTCTTTAGAAAAGCCTGGTGTGGCAGCTTATAGTTAGAGTGTAGGGAAACAGAGTCAGGAATGTCCCTGGACTTGCTGGCGGCCATCCTGGCCTACTTGGAAACTTCCAGGCTAGATCATGTTTCAAACAGGGTAGAAGGAGCCTGAGAAACAACATCCAAGGCTGTCTTCTGGCCTCCATGTGTACACACATGTACTCACACATGTATAAGAACACACACACACACAGACAGACACACTGAAATTTAATCACTATGAGGCCATATTAAGAGGAAGAACTAAGTGAGATATTAACGAGGTGGCTGGTGTGGGCCATGGAGGTCCCAGCATTTGGGAGGTAGAGATAGGACGATCAGGGGTTCAAGGTTATCCTCTACTACACGGTGAGTTTGAAACTAGCCTCGGCTATGTGAGACCCTTCTCTCACAGGGTAGGTGATTGGGTCAAAATGGCTCCGTCATCAGAAATGATCTGTCGTTTAGTGTGTGGAGAGATTGTTTTATAATGGGAGTGTTGTAAGAGCCAGTATCGCGCTGTCTTGAATCCGCCTCTCTTGCCTTGTGTTACCCAGAACTCTTAGGACTCTTCAGCGTTCTCACCAGCAAGAAGGCCTTCACTGGGTGCCGTCTCCCCTCCTTCCAACTTCTAGTGCTGTGGACCAAAAAAACCTCTCCCCAGTTTTTTATAACCATCTAGTCTGTGGTGTTCAGTTATAGCAACAGTAAGGATGGTGGTTTGAATGAGAATGGTCCTCACAGGCTCGCATACATGAATGCATAGTCACCAGGGATTGATACTATTGGAAGGATAAGGAGGCGTGGCCTTGTTGGAGGAAGTGTATCATTTCCCGGTGGGCTTTGAGGTTTCAAAAAGCCCAAGTCGGGCCCTGTGTTGCCCTTTTTCTCTTCCTGTGGATCAGGGTGTAGCTCTCAGCCACCGCTCCACTCTCGAGTGCCGCCATGCTGCCATGATGATAATGGACTAACCCTCTGAAACTGTAGCAAGTCCACAGTTAAATTTCTAAGAGTTACCCTAGTCTTGATACAGTGACTAAGACACTAAGTAAACTAAGACAAATGGGTTCCAATAACCTGCCACTTATCACGTCTTCCCTTATGATCCCTGGCTTCCTGGCTGCCGAAGCTTTGCTGGTTGATACAGATAGAAAAGCTGACATCAGTGGCACTCTAAGATCGGACGCTTTCTAAAATGCTACTAAGGGTGGAGCCAGGAGCTAGGCAAGCATTCTACCGTGAGCTACACTCTCAGCCATAATTTTTTTTCTTTAACTTTTTAGATGGGGGGCAGTTTAAGCTTTCCAAGGCCCCTTCTACCCACCCACCCCCACCCCATGCTTTGCTGAGAGTCTTTTTTCTCTATGTGCCTGCTGTATGTATGTTTTCTTACACTCCCCCCCCCCAAAAAAAGCCCACTTTTCTTCAACTGCAAAAAAAGTAAAATAAAAATAAAAATAACATTTTTGGACAGGATCTCCATATGAAGTCATGGCTGGCCTCAAGCTCAGAGATCCACCTGCCTCTGCCTCCCAAGTGTTGAGATTAAATGTGTGTGCCACCACATCTGGCATTTTGGGAAACTTTTTGCTTTTGTTTTTTCGCGACAGGGTTTCTCTTTGTAGCCCTGGCTCTTCTGGAACTCAAACTGGACTCAAACTCACAGAGATTCGCCTGTCTCTGCCTCCCAAATGCTGGGATTAAATGGGTGCACCACCACCACACCTGGGAAACTTTTTTGAGTGCTGACATGATGTTCAAAATATTTTGGATTTATTTTGGAGCCCTCTGTGTTGTGGATTGATTCTGATACTACTTGTGTTAATTCAGATCCCCAAATTACCGGAAACCTACACATCTGCGTGTAAGACGCTGAGGGTCCCTGCCCCCAGCTGGTTCTGATTAGTAAATAAAGTTGCTGGCCACCAATGGCTGGGCGTGAGACAGAGGCAAGGGAACCCGGGGAAGGAGGAGGATTTAGTACCGCCATGCCGGGGAAGCAGAAGGATCAGGCCTGAGAAGTGCTGGACAAAGAGACTGCCAACATGTAGGAGTCGGGGATCCTGACCTAGGTGGGATGCAGACTGTGTGTGTGCGTGTGTGTGTGTGTGTGTGTGTGTGATTCGAGAATCCAGAGCAATGGGGCAGCTAGCAAGGAACTTGCACAGCGGCTGGGTTGCCAGGGACATAGAGTGGATTAATCAGCTACAACAATTTATTTTTTATTTATTTATTTATTTATTTATTTATTTTGGTTTTTTGAGACAGGGTTTCTCTTTATAGCCCTGGCTGTCCCGAACTCACTCTGTAGACCAGGCTGGCCTCGAACTCAGAAGTCCTCCTGCCTCTGCTTCCCAAGTGCTGGGATTAAAGGCGTGCGCCACCACTACCTGGCTGGACTTAAGATTTTTTAAAAAAATTTTTTAATCACATTTAAAGAGAGGGGGGAATGGGAGGAGGTCATTGTGGAGCTCAGGATAACTTCAAGTTGGTTCTCTCCTACCATGTGGGTCCTGGGGATCAACCTCAGGACATCCTACTTGACAGGAAGTGTCTTTATCTGCTGAGCCATCTCATCAGCCTGAACTTTAGATTATCAGATTAGAGACATTTAGCTGATAATGCTAGCCACTGGTCCCCACTCTGAGAAACTAAGGTGGGAAACATGTCTGATGCCAAGCCCTTTAGATTAGGGACTCACCCATCCTGTTTGGATTTTCCTTCCATGCCTCACATATGTCTAAACAGCAAGAAGAGCACTGATTGTATTGGCCCATTCAGAGAGGACATCATTCAACTATGCCATGAAGGAGGCTGCGGTAGAGGCTCTGAAGAAGAAAGGATGGGAGGTGGTCGAATCTGACCTCTATGCTATGAACTTTAACCCCATCATTTCCAGAAACGACATCACAGGTAAGAACCGTCCCTCTCCATTGACGGTGCCGGACCCTGTGGCCCAGCCTCAGTCCCTCTTGCCTCCCAACAGGGAATCTGAAGGACGCGGAGAACTTTCAGTATCCTTCTGAGTCATCTCTAGCATATAAGGAAGGCCGCCTGAGCCCAGATATTGTGGCTGAACAGAAAAAGTTGGAAGCTGCAGACCTGGTGATATTTCAGGTATCACATAGGACAGAAATCATAAGAAAGCGGTGTCTGGGGTGTTTTGTCCTTTTTTTGTCCTGGAGCCCTCTGCATTCTAAGTGACGTCAGTCAGAGGGTATGCGGCTGAGCTGAAGTGCTTTGTGTATTTACCTTTATTTGTGTGTGTGTGTGTGTGTGTGTGTGTGTGTGTGTTATCCTGCTCAGGCTGGCTTCTTGGCATTCAGCAATCCTGCAGCCCTAGCCTCACAAAGTAGTTCATACTAAGGGAACAAGGCCCTTCCCCTTATCCCTGACCCCCCACCCCCATTTAGCTTTTCCAGAGGAAATGACAAGGGCAAAGGTGCCCTATGGTGATACTGTAGACAGTTGCTCAGCACCTAAACTCTTCCTGGCCACAGGGGAAGGGTAAGTGTGAAAGGACCCTGATCTGACTTCTTGGTCTTCTGCCCCACAGTTCCCAATGTATTGGTTTGGGGTGCCCGCCATTCTGAAAGGCTGGTTTGAGAGAGTGCTCGTAGCAGGATTTGCCTACACTTATGCCACCATGTATGACAAGGGTCCTTTCCAGGTAAGTGAACCGTTGGGTATTTCTTGAGTAGATTCTGCCCTGAGAACACAGATGGAACTTTAAGACCAGGGAGGACACATTGTATAGCTCTTATAAATCAAATGACAGGATGTTTTGGATTTGCTTGATTTCTTTTTATATATTTACTTATTATTTTATGTATATGGGTGTTTAGCCTGTTTTCCATATCTGTGAACCACGTGTGGAGTGGCTGAGGAGTCCAGAAAATGGGGGGGTCACATCTTCCTGGAACTGGAGTTACAAGACAGTTGTGAGCTGCCAGAGGTGCTGGGGACTGAACCTGGGTCTTCTGAAGAACAGCCAGGGCTCTTAACCCCCACCCCATCTATACGGACTGGTATTTACTCATGGATGTGGGAGGGACACATGCCTGCCACAGTGTGTATGTGGAAGTCAGGGGACAAGTTGCTGATGGGAGATCAGACTTGATCAGGTTGTCAGGCTTGGTGGCAAGTGACTTTACCAGCGAAGCCATCTCACCAGCCTTTGGACTTTGTTTTAAAGTGTTACAGAAAAGAAAAAAAAAAAAAACTCAAAAAAGTCAGTGTTGAGGGGATTAATGAGTGGCTGGCATAGGACAGATAAACCAGCCTTCAAGCTGTGTGGTAGATTTTTTTTCCCTATTACCCTTGTCCTTTCATGCTTGAGATTTTTCCATAGTAAAAATAAAATGGAAAAATCTTACTGACTTGGTGACAGACATCTGAAATCCCTCTTGGGTATACAGACAGGAAGACCAGGAGTTCAAGGCTACCCTCAGCTACTTAGTAAGTTTTAGGCCAGCCTGGGCTACATGTCAGAATAAAACATAAAAGTGGAAAAAGAATCTTTGTTGTTTGGAGGCCAAATAGTGACAAGATCTATCTTGTGACTTTTTAAAAAAATAGATTTTTAAACATTTATTTTTATTTTACATACATTGGTGTTTTGCCTGCATGTATGTCTGAAGGAGGGCATTAGATTCCCCTGCAACAGGATTTACAGTTGTGAGCTGCCATCTTGGTGCTGGGAATTGAACCTGGATCCTCTGAAAGAGCAGCCAGGGCTTCTAAACACTGAAACATCTCTCCAGTTTCAACTTTTTTTAAAATTAAATTAATAAAAATTGACACAGGGTCTTATTATGTAGCCCTGGCTGTCCTGGAAGTCACTGAGTGACCCACCTGCCTCTACCGCCTGAGCACTGCTGGGATTGAAGCCACCATACCCAGCTGTCTCCTAAAGTCTTGAGTGATTATTTGTGCTTTGGCCATGGCTATCCACAGCCACAGCTGGAACATGTGCAGAGTCATCCTGAGGCGACAGAGGACCCAAAGCCTGAGATAATAGCACCGATAGGGTGGCCTTATTTGTCCTTCTCCCTGGGGACCCCCTGTTCATTAACTCACTGGGACCCAGGAGAGGAGCCAGTGACACTTGTTTTCTTTTTCAGAATAAGAAGACCTTGCTTTCCATCACCACTGGGGGCAGCGGCTCCATGTACTCCCTTCAGGGTGTCCACGGGGACATGAACGTCATTCTCTGGCCAATTCAGGTAGCGCCTTGTCGGTGAACTTCCAGAGGAGTTTGTTAGCTGAGCTTTCCTCGGAGTCCAAACCTCCAGACAGTAACTAAAAACTGACCTGAGGTGTGAGGAGAATAGGCTGGCAACAGGACAGCCGCTCCTGAGCTTCCTTCAGGAGCTTGTGCGATGAAAAAAAAAATGTGTGTGTGCCTGTGTGTATGTGTGCATGCATGTATGCGCTTGTGTGTATGTGTGTGCACATGTATGTGTGTGCCTGTGCGATAGTGTGTGTGTGTGTGTGTGTGTGTGTGTATCAGAGGTTAACTTTTGGGAGTCCGTTCTCCCTTTCCACCTTGTTGATACCAGGATTTCCTTGTCTTTTGTAGTACTGTGTGGTCAAAGCTTACAAGCTTTGAGCTTCTGGGCAGTTCTCCTGTCTCTGCCTCTCATCTTGCCTTGGCATGCTGGGATTGCAGATTCATGTTGCTGCATATATATGTATATGGATGTGTGTGTGTGTATGTTTATGTTTATATGGATGAATATATGTGAATAAATATATATACTGGATTTTTTGAGACAGGGTTTGCCTGTATAGCCATATAGCTCTGGCTGTCTTGAAACTCACTCTGTAGACCAGGCTGGCCTCAAAGTCAGAGATCCACCTACCTCTGCCTCCTGAGTGCTGGGATTAAAGGCGGCCTGCACCAACACCACCACCCTGCTCCATTCACTTTTTTACATAGGTTCTGGGTTCTCCTGCCTCAACCCGTTGGGTGCTGGGTTTAGGGCTTAGACTGCCATATCTGGCTTCCCAGGACAAGAATCAAGTTCACTGAGCTTCGAGGTGGGCTTCGGGGTCCTTAGACCCGGAGGATTATATCCACCCAGAATTTGGGGCTGCAGAGGGGAGTGAGCGAGATGGGCACTGGAAAGACCATTTGTAAAGACTGAGCTCGTCCTGTGGAGAGGCAGAAAACTGCGCATGCGCGCGCCCTCGCATGCGCCAGTGCCAAGGAGCAAATGGTCTCCCTAATGGAATACAATTTCCGGCTCTTTTGGCAGAGGATCCAGGTTGGCACAGTTTCAAGGTTTTTACTCATTCAAACTCTGCCAAGGAGGCTGAGCCAGGTAACAGCTAGGGAGAGCGGGTGGAAGGTAAGAGAAGGACCTGTGTCAATTCCCCAGGGCACCTCAGGCCTCTGACAGCACTTTCTCCCATTTGCAAGCCCAAATCGCCCTCTTCAAAGGTTTTTGGTTTTTTTTTTAAATTTAAGTTTTATTTTATGAGTTGTGCCGACTGTCTGTGTACCGTGTATATGCGTTGTTCGTGGAAGCCAGGATTATACACTGTCTGTGTACCCTGTATATGTGTTGTTCATGGAGGCCAGGATTATACACTGGGTTCCCTGGAACAGCAGTTACAGATGGTTGTGAGTCACCATGTAGGGCCTGGAAATCAAACTCAGGTCTTCTGGAAGAGCAGCCAAAGCTCTTAAAACACCAAGGCATCTCTCCAGCTGCAAAGCTTTTGTTTTTTTCAGATTTCTGTTTATTTATTTTATTGCTCTGGGTGTGTATGCTACAATTTTGTGGGTGCCCACAGAGTTCAGAAAAGGTCATCCAATCCCTTAGAAATGGAGTGACAGGTGAGTCCCTCCAATGGGTGCTGGGAACCAAGCTGGGTTCTCTGAAAGAGCAATAAGTCTTAACCATTGAGCCAGCTCTCCAGCCCCCAGATCAACTTCTGATGCCCATTTACAGTACAGACTTAACTCCTGTGACTTATCTGTGTTCTGTTTCTCTCCAGAGCGGCATCCTGCATTTCTGTGGCTTCCAGGTCTTAGAACCTCAACTGGTCTACGGCATTGGCCACACACCACCAGATGCCCGCACGCAGATCCTGGAAGGATGGAAGAAACGTCTGGAGACTGTCTGGGAGGAGACACCACTCTATTTTGCTCCAAGCAGCTTGTTTGACCTAAACTTCCAGGCAGGATTCTTACTGAAAAAAGACGTTCAAGAGGAGCAGAAAAACAACAAGTTTGGCCTCTCTGTGGGCCATCACTTGGGCAAGTCCATTCCGGCTGACAACCAGATCAAAGCTAAAAAATAAGATATGTATTTTTCTAACATGTAGTTAGACCCAGGTTTCATTTTTCCCAGCTTGCCTAACTTGCTTTCATTTTTCCCCTTCGATCCACAAGGCTAGGAAAAGGAGAAGCTCACATCATCATATTTGGATAGTTCTCCCGTGGCTGTGACTGCAAAATGAACCAAGTGAGATTAGGGGCCTCAGGTGGGAAATGAATCAGGGAAAGGGGTAGAAGCGAGCTGGAAAATACTCTTCTAAGTCATTTATGCCATATACGCCCTTTCCTTAGGCTAGCCCTGACTAGATGGCGCCCAATCCTCCATTGATTGGTTGCCTTTAATTACCTCCCTGTGGTTTAGGGCAGAAGGGAATTGCTCAAAGAAAACAATGACCGAGGGACTAACTTGTTTAGCAGTTAGTTAGCACTTAGCTAAAGCCTGTTTACGATACATCCTGGTTTCAATTACTGTGCAGTGACTGACATGCCGCCCAGGGGGATTGCTCTCCAGCTCTCCTCTGTCTTGTACACAGCACACTCAGATCCTGGGAACTGAATACTAACACAGGTCTCCGGCTTGCTCTTCCTTCCTTCCTTCCTTCCTTCCTTTCTTCCTCTTTTTTTTTGTCAAAATAAATGAATACATCACACTTCAAATGGTGGTGCATGCCTTTAAGCCCTTCAATACTTAAAAACAATAGCCTCCCTGCTGACCCGGAGAGGTAGCTTCAGCAGCTAAGAGCACTTGTTTGCAGAAAACCTCCATAAAGGCTAACAGCTGGTTCTAACTCCAGTTCCAAAGGATCCAGTGCCCTCTTCTGGCTTCTGCAGACACTGCATGCACACAGTGCACAGACATACATGCAGCCAAATAAATAAAAATAAATCCTAAATGCCAAAATGAAAACCAGTAGCCCTCTACCAAAGCAAAAATACAAGTGAATGTCTGGAAGGTTTTTCTGTTATATTGCGAAACCAATGATATTCCTTTTTTGTTTGTTTGTTTTTATAGATCTGTTTTATTTTTGATTCTCTGGTGTGTCCCTGAGTGTTTGTGAATATATGTGGACAAGTGCCCACAGACTCCAGAAGAGGGTCTTCTAGCACCCAGAGCTGGCATTCTAGGTGGTTGTGAGCCACTCGAAGTGTGTGCTGGGGAACCAAACTCAGGTCCTCTGCAAGAGCAGCAACCGCTCCTAGCTGTGAAACCATCTCTCCAGCCCCATAATTACATCCAGCTTAATGAGCTGTGTGGATATCATGTAGGTCTTATAGTAAATAATTTTAAGACTCCTCTCTCTCTCTCTCTCTTTCTCTCTCTCTCTCCCTGTGTGTGTGTGTGTTGGTGTATAACGAATAGTCTTACAAATGTGATACAAGCACCCTACTGTTGGACTACATTCTCAGTTCCCAATTTTGGCGCATGAAATTAAGTTTTATTTAGGTGTATACGCACACAAGCGTGGCATGCCTGTGGAGACTGGAAGATGGAGTCACATCTCCTGGCTGGGGTTATGGGTGCTTGTAAGCCCCCTGATGGAAGTGCTCAGAACTGAACTCTGCTTGGGTCCTCTGCTAGAACAGCAAGGGCTTCTAAATGTTGCATGTTGCATCACCTCTCTCTAGTCACTCAATTTAAATTCTTGAAATGCACACTGAGGCCGGGCGATGGTGGCGCACGCCTTTAATCCCAGCACTTGGGAGGCAGAGGCAGGCGGATTTCTGAGTTCGAGGCCAGCCTGGTCTACAGAGTGAGTTCCAGGACAGCCAGGACTACACAGAAAAACCCTGTCTCAAAAAAAAAAAAAAAAAAAAAACAAAAGGGGAAAAAAAAAAAAAAGAAATGCACACTGGGCATGATGGTGGGACTATCATCCCAAGCACTCAGGAGACCGAGGCAAGAAGGTCAGATATTTAAGGCTATCCTGAGCTACATAGTGAGTTTGAGACCATCTTGGGCTCCATGAGACCCTGTCTCTAGAAACAAACCTTGAAGTGTATCTCTTTCCACCCTGTGTGCAATTCAAGGAGATGTCAATAGTGCGCCCTCTTGTGGCAAATGGGATGAAAGTATACAAAACTAGGTGTCCAGAAAATTTGCAGACCTGACAACGCTGGATGCTTTGAAATTCATTTTAGCAAATCAACTCACTTCTTCTGATACCAAGGTGATTAAGTCAGAGTTATCTAGAGGAGCAGAATTTATAGTATGAATCTAGATAGATAGATGGATGGATAGATGGATGGATGGATAGACAGACAGAAAGGGGGTGTATTAGATTGGTTTGCAGGCTGTGTCCAGCTTCTCCAACAATAACTGTCTACCAAGAGAAGGTCCAAGAATCCAGTTGAATTTTTGTCCATGATATTAGATGTTGTTAGTCCCATGGGTTGAGAATAAGACCACTGTCACAATCTTTCAGCCAAATTTGAAGCAAGCTTTAAATACTGGCTAGAAGGATGGACTCTGGCCAGGTCTATTTCAGGGTTTCCATGAAACGGCCATGAGTCACATTTTTGCAGAGGCTTAAGAAGGCAACCCCCATAATACCGTCGTGTTTTCCACCATGTGTGATCAAGCTCATCCAGTGCAGTTGAGTTAACTAAACTTGTTTAGGGGAGTGAAAACACATGGCTTGTTACTTCTCAGACACAACAGCTTCCAGCATTTCAGGAAGTGTCTGTCCCTGGGCAAAAGGCTTACAGGTTAGAGGCATTTTTGTTTCATGGATTTCTCTCTCTTTTTAAAAATGATTTATTTTATTTATGAGTAAACTGTAGCTGTCTTCAGACATACCAGAAGAGGGCATCACAGATGGTTGTGAGTCACCATGTGGTTGCTGGGAATTGAACTCAGGACCTCTGGAAGAGCAGTCAGTGCTCTTAACCACTGAGTCACCTCTCCAGCCCTCATGAATCTCTTAGGAACAGTAAATTAAAAACGTAATCTTGGCTCTCACAGTGTCTCAGCTGATCTTCAGTATACACCAGAATTCCAAAGAAGTAGGTTATCGTACCAGTGAAGGAATAGATTTGCCAGTGAGAGTGAAGGCAAGCAGGCAAAGAAAGCAGCAACCTTCCTTCTTCCCTGTCCTTTATATGGGCTGTCAGCCGAAGGTGTCGTCCAGATTAAAGGTGGATCTTCCCACCTCAAAGATCTGGATTAAAAGTGAGTCTTCCTGACCTGGCCCACGCTGCCCCATGTTTGGGGGCCAAGTGCTCTGGTCCGTGCGGGTCAGTCAACAGGGTTTAGCAAGAGAGAGAGAGTGGGGACGGAGGTGCAAGAGACTCGAAGAATGGAGACAAGACAGTCTGATCAAGTCCCCTTTATTAAAAGGAGATCCTGGATATTTATAAGCACAAGCAGGGGAACGCAGCTGAAGACGATTTACCACAGGCCTTGCAGCTGGGGGCCACTAAACAACAAAACAAAATATTCGAGAAAAACAAGATGTTTATCAGAGTGTGCTCAGCTTTTGTGGGCTGTTGAAAAACAAGTCTCTTGTCAGAGTATATGGCCCGAGATGGCTACAAAGAAGATAGCCACTTTCTGCTAGGAGTCGGCTCTCAAGATCTTCGAATTTCGAATGATTTAATAATAATAAAAAAATCCCTCACAGGTGTGCCCAACAACTTGAGTTTTAACTAATTCCAGATGTCACACAGGTCAAAGGAGACTCTCCTGGGAGAGCAGTTTAGAGATTCAGTAACAAATGATGACCACAAGTAGGTAGCCTGAGATGGCCCAGCAGGGCTGCTTCATATATCAATACGAAGCACCTATCCCTGGTACCTACATGTTGGAAGGAGAGAAAGGACTCCTGAACGATATGTTCTGACCAAACATGTGCCATGGCATGTGTGCTTGAGAGAAGGCACGCGCACACACACAAACAGGTGTGCAAACACACAGATAAACAATGGAATGAGATGTTTTAAGAGCACTAGGAAATAAAGCGATATTGGAATTACAGGATGCTGTAAAAACGTGAACAATGGAAGTACATACCTTTGCAGAACTGTGGTATTGTGAAAAATGGCGGTTACAGACAGCTATGCTGGATGTTGAAAAATGTCAGGAAGAAAAAAGATTAAAGGGACAGAGGGAGCTGGTATACACAGGCCAATCAAGAAACTGTCCGTTAAGTCCATGCTTGTCAGATAGTCTAAGTGAGACTGGTTATCAGGAGGATGAACACTCCAGACACTGGGATGTCTTTAAGTTCAAGGAAGGGGAAATTAGGGAGCAGGGCTACAGCAAAGAAACTGGGAGACTGCCAGGTCAAATACTAACTGGAGTCAGAACAAATGGGGCTGTGGGCTCACTGCTCTAAGGAAAGACCCTGGAGGCTTTGAGCAGAGGTATACTAAAGCTTGTTTGAAAAGGGGAATTCTGGGTGATATGTGAGCAATCAAGGGTAAGAGGAGGATGGACTTGGCCCTCCCAGGATGCCGTTATAACAGTAAAGGGACCAGGTGTGTTTAACCAGATCAAAGGTTAGGCTTAACAGGATTTGGTGATGAATCAGAAGTGGAGTCCAAAACTGCAAAGGTCTATTGGCCTATGCAATTAGAAGGCAGAGATTCCATTTGCTGCAGTGAAGAAGGATCTGGAAGGAGCATTTGGGGTGGGGATGGGGATGGGCAGTGGTGGGACTAGCATTTGGTTTCCCTCATGTTATATTTGAGGTGTCTGCTAAGACAGTTGACACACAACGAGGAGCATCTCAGCAACATATGTCGAACTTAAGGAATTTGCTGGTTAGTGGTCCACATGTAATCTTCTACAGAGATGGTCTTAAAGCTGTAGGAGACCCGCTGACTGCTCTCTAAGGCTCTTCTATACTTGAGGTCAGGATGAGTTTGAAAAGAGGTTTGCACAAAACACAGCTCTCCCTCAAGTTTATTCTAGAGCCAAGGTTGAGTGCCTATGGATTAAGGGTATCTCAAACTCCCTGTTCCAATACACTTTCATCAAGTTATAAAGTTTTTATGGTAACCGAACAAACTTACAGAGCAAGGTACCTTAAAACTTCACAGGTGGAA